TTTCAGAATTAATAATCGTTTTTTATCTTACTGAATATTTATTGTCTACCAAATGAAATATGAATTATATTTGAATCTTTAGAAATACAATTTCTACAATATTAATCTTGTTTTTATATAGATAAATGTTCGATAAATACTATCTTTCATAAAACAAACGAAATTCAGCGCGTCTATTTTCATTCCATCAATGGCGTTTGTAAACATGTGCACTGACGTCATCGTCGAATCCCTGGACTTTCGACGGCAATGCCTGCCTGCCTAGGTCCCAGGCCAACCAATAATAATTAAAAAAAATGTATTTTTTTAAATATAGGCCCATGGAGCATCCTAGTACATGCACTTCAACTTTTACAACAAAAGCCTATAGGCCTAGTAGTACGTCCTACTGTACTTAAGCCTAGGCGTACATTAGTTTGATGTCGTCGGGGTACAATTCTGTCTCTAAATGCAGCGTGACCACTAGGGAAAATCAAAATTCCCAAGAGTGGGTCTAAAAATTCCCAAGATTGCTTTTGAAAACCCAAGATTCTCAAAATATTCTTCATTTAAAAGTCCTCCATTTTAAAGCTTTTTCAATGAATTATAAAACTGTACAGTATTTTGTACTGTATAGGCCTTAACGAAGTGTCTGGGTTTTCTAGACCAGAAACTCGTTCGCTTTGGGCCATAGGCCTACTATAAGGCCTACTCTGTGCGTCCGTGGAAAATCCTTTTTGGTGACTAAAACGTGATATCCTTTCCTCTGGCCGCATTGTATGTTAGGACAAGAATTTGAAGTTTGTGTGCAATTTCACCCATTCGATATTAACAAAGTCAGTACTTCACACACATTAGGCCTATGGCCTACAATATTATATAAAAAGGCATAATCGATCTTTACAGAGTGTCGAATTGATCTGTCAATTTTATACCAGGGCCCTACAGTATTGCATAGGAGTATTTAACAATAAGAAAAATGGGGAAAACAGCTTCCTTTGAAATCTACTTAAGCGAGTGTGTATGAAACCGGGTCTATGGCAACTAAAATTTGATACTACGTCTAGAAGTGTAGAGATACGAATCCTATTACTAAAAACTGTAGAATTCTAAATGATTACAAAATGACCAAGCATATAAATGAATCGGTCTAAAATGATATTCAAAGATATTATACAGCTATAGACCGCTAATGTTTGTTTTGCATGTCTATAACACCGTCACTCACAAATTAACGTATGTAAAAATTGGTCGTAAAATTTGATAACAAGTTGACCATTCAAATCCATTGTAAATATTTATTTGAATCCGTACACCGATTTTGTTTCAAGTTGTTTGTTTTCAATATTATAGCTGTTTCATTAGGCCCTACGATGACAATGTTTTGAAATCGTGCTGTATAACACTCCAAAATTTTTTTTTATGGGTAAACAACAGAAGGCTCTGAATTTTTTACAAGTTGACCAAGCGTGTTGCTGCATCATTATTGTTCAGTTACGATCACTATTCAGAGAGCAGCAGGCTGATAATTTGTTTTTCCCACAGCTATTTAGATGTCGTTGTTGGTAACTTTTTTTTTTAAATTGTGAGTGTAAATATTCTTTAGTGTATTAACTTTAGATAAGAATTGTAGATAAATAATGCACATAAAATCAATTGTCGATGGAGAACGGCGTCAGTCATCTGATTAGTCCAATATTAATAGTACCGATATTTTGAATACTCCTTCTTCCGCGAATTGTTTTATTGACAGTGACTCATCTAATTCTTATATAATCACTTTCAACATTTTAATCTAAATAGTTCACCATATCGTAAAATTTTGAAGACTGTACCCACCCAATTTGTTGGCGATCCTCAGTGTATGTTATGTTAATGAATCATGTCATAATGTACAACAAGGGAATGTGTATTACAATATGCCAGTACGTATTTTTTAGATTTTGACACACTCCGTTCTGTTGTGTGTGACTGCTGTTGAAAACAAACTTCCTCATTTTGCTATGATGACTGAGATGGACCATGTTGATTTATTAATAATATTTTGTTTGGGATGGGGAAAAAGGAGTCAATTTCCCAAAAATGCTCCATCAGCACATAGTTTAGTGAGGTCTATAGACAATATGGCTATGGAATTTACTAACCACACAATCAAGAATCATTAAGTCGCAAAACTTTAGCTGCATTTGTTGGATTAAACTTTAACTTCGTTTGGTGGCGCCATTTACTCTAGGTAGACGGAGACCGGTTTTGTTACTGGTTGGTACATTTCTTACAAACATTCAGCCAAAGGCCAGTGAAAGCTCGATGTTTGCCATCCTTATGTGAGCTATCGTAAAGTCATGGTTAGCAGGAGTTGCGTTCAATTTAAATCTCCGAACTTCTGAAGCTGAGATATTCTATGAATGTAGGCTTGTATCGCTTGCTACAATTTAAAAACGGGTGACCAAATAATGAAAATAATTTTGATTTAATGCTGGGTAAGTTAAAAACAGACATTCCGTCCGAGTGGGACTCATTCAAAAATTCGAGGGGGTTCGCTAGAAAACAGGGGGGTTCGCCCGAACCATAACCCCTTCCCCCACCCCCTGGCTACGGGCCTGGTAGGCCTACAGGTAAATGGAAATAACTGGCCAAGTAAGTTATTTATGACACAATCAATTTTGGTGTATTCATTCTTAACGCGTCCTACGAAATTCTTACGAGACAGCACTAGTCCGTGAATTTTTTAACAAGATCGGAGATCTAAAGATGCAATCTCTCTTCCTCCCTCCTGGCGCCCCCCCTCTCTCTCTCTCTCTCCCTCTCTCTCTCGGCGCTTATTTTAACAACCATTAAATTTAACATTTGTATAATTTAGCATAATTTTCCATCAGCTCTTGGCATAATTTGATTTGGATCACTGGTCACAAAGATAGGTATAAGCCTAGCATTCAATTAGTATTGTAGACGCATAAATAACGCTAAATGTTTTGATTTTAAAGGAGATAGAGAGTAGTTAATCTACCAGTATTTTAATGATGGAACCGGTAGTTCGTATGGAGGAATTATTGTCTTGCTTAAACAGCTTGTTTAACACCTCCCCATGCTACAATGTAGCTTGCAACAATAGAAATCCTGATCGTTTTACTTGTAAATTCTGAAAATGTTGTATTTTTCAAATGTTTATATTTGTGACAGAAAATGTAGTAATATATTGGTGGTTTCTGACCCAATTGACCCCTGTGCAACTTTGACCCAAGTGTAGCCTATCACCCATTGTATTGGAGGTGTCACCGATTTTACTAACTTTGATTGAAATCAGCCTAATCGTTTATCACAAGTGGCGTTTTGAAATGTTGACAGATAAAACATAAAATAACCCTTTAATGACTTTTGATCCCAAATTTCTAAACACCATACTGACTCTGCCTATACCAATGCATATATGCAAAGACAAGACTGTGCTATAGTATTTGTGACAAAAGTAGTCTTTAAGGTATTTTTGGATTTTTTTTATCCTAATAACCGCTACGTGACATTTGAACCCAAGCTGTGAACACCCTATGTATGGGAGGTGCAACCCCTTAATGACCGTTGATCTTAAATCTCTGAGCCCCATATAGACTCTGCCTCATGCCATTGTATTTGCATACGACTATGGTACATTATTTGGGAGATAAGTGGTCTTTTAAAAGATGTTTGGTTTTTTATTACTCTAATGAACCCTGTGTGACGTTTGACCCCAAGTAGTAAACAACCCATGTATGGGAGGTGCCACTTTAGACTGAGGGGACAAGGGCTCCGCCTCCACCACGACAGCCAATAGGCGTTACGCCACTGAGAAAAGGGTAGGGGATTGTCTACCAGTTTCTGATCAATTCACCACTAGTAGAAATAGGTTTTTCGACTTTCGTTAGTTAAATTGTGTATTTCACAATGAACAATTCAAGCCAATCCAAGAGGTGGGCTAACTATGTGTTAAAAATATGGTTCGCTGTGATATACTCAAGTGTGTATTAATTTATCAAATTTGATCTTGCCCCTTACTGTCATAGTGCACTAGCCTTATACCCACTTGGGGTTACCCCAAACCACCGTATATCCTTTTAAGTACCGCCCTGCAGTTCATCAGTGAAATCAAATGTTGCAACTATTCGTTTTTAATTACAAAGTTCAAAGTTCAAATTTATTCACCGTTTGAAGAAAAAAAAATCCATCTAGATCAGTATGGAATATTTGAGGGCGATACATGCAAGCTGACCTTGTTACATAACTATGAAAAGATTGGTTTTTGATGAAATAATTGTGGAAATTTACAGGAAGGCTATTATTAACAAAATTATACATAAATAATGCTTTCAACAAGTTATGTATATCATATATAGTAAGAGTATTGAATTTAACAAATAAAGAGGCAGTATGATCATATCGTTGAGCATTAGAACATAACCGAATGATTACACTAAAGTTCAGTTGAGCTACAGTAAATAATTTTGCACTTTTGTTTATTTGCAGACTGCCGGTGGTCTTGTGATGAATATCCTCTCCATCATATGTGCCTGTATCATCATAATTTTGATGAGTATTACTACGTTACTGGAGGAATACGGAAGTAATGATCACTGTGCATACGAGAGCGGTTACATTTATTATTATAGTGGTTGTGTATGTAAATTCCTAAGCACATTTTTCATAGTTTTCTTTGCTATTAACATTCTTACTACAATACAATGAAAATTATGTTGATCTTCTTAGTTTTCTCTTAATGATGTTAGTCACTTAACTAATGCATTTCTAATCATTCTTACATTATAAGTATATTTTTATCATTTTATGTTCTCAAACTATATGACTTGATGAAAAAATGCGGCTCGTATGGCGGTATTCCATACACCAAAATAGTGGCGAAGAGATCATACAAAGTTAGTATACCTGTTGTAAAAAATAGAGAAGGAACAACCCAGCTAACAATATTACCGAATTATAATAACGTTGCAGTATGATGTTCAAACAGGGTTGTATTTGTAAAACTTTTAATACCAGTACGTAATTTCAAACCAAGCAAGGTTTCAAAAACGCGTATGCAACGTTGTGTTAACAATATTTTCTCACATAATCTATCGAAAATGTTTCACCACGTTTTTATATTGTTAGAATAACGTTTTGAGTTTGCTGGGAAATAAAAATTAGCATATTATATAAAATACAGAATTATCATTGTTTTTTATGCTTCTGTTTGTAGAAAACAGAGAAAGCCATGGATATAATTTTGCTTGTTCTTGGTGTAATTGAGCTTGGATTGACAATTGCTGCTGTTTGTGTATTATCTATGGATGTTTGCTGCTGCTCAACTTCTCAACAAGGAATGGGGGTAATGGATGCAGTGTCCTCAATATTGAATTATATAATCCTAAAAACTAACAAAATTACATTTATGTTAAAAATAAAAATAACAGTGCTTTACTTATATATAGTTGTGACATGTCGTCATCATGACATAAGTGTAATATGACAACATCATGATTATATATTTGATATGACGTCATTATGCTTGTAGTTATGAAGAACTAACATATTTGTCATATAAAACTTGATATTGTAAAAGGGAACTTAAAATGCAATAAAGGTGTCCTAAGTAATATGCATTGTTTATCATCTGTAAGGATATAAATTATATTACTACTAAGATATCCCTATTTAAATACTTGCAAAAATACATATAGCGTTTGTGGATTCTAGTGATATTCAAACATTAAGTAAAATTAAGTACATTATCGTGGTGGTTATTTTTAATATAGGCAACGCTGTTGAGGGATCCTGCTGAACTTGCGGAAATACAAACTAGATACAGCCAAGTTGTTGTACCAGGTATAATATTCTTCATATTATATATCATTCACATAATTAATATCTATATTAGAGTTCTATTTTTCTTCATTTTCACGGAGAGTACCAAACACAGGCCTACGTTGTGAATAGAGAGTGACTGGGGATAAGAGTGAGGGTACGCTTTTATGTAGAGTACAATTCCTGGAATGATGATTAAATATGGTTGATCCCTATATTCAATTAATCATTAATTTTATCATCAAAATGTATAACTTGCAGTATGGATATATATTTACAATACAAAATAAAATTAGAAATTTCATACTTATACTTTTGGGAATGTCATAAATTAATCCTGCTCTTTCATTCTATTTATTACACACATTTTGTGACATACAATCAGGCCTAATTTATGTTTATTTATTTTAGATTTATGTATTATGTTTATTTGTTAACAGCTGGAGCATACCCAGTATCTCAGGTCCAATATCCTGCTGGCCAGCCTCAGCAGTATCCTGCGGCTCAGCCTCAGAATTATCCTGCTTGTAATCCTTCCCTTGGAGCACCTTAGAACCAATAGGGTACTACTCCATGAACCGGAAGTATCTTGGAACCCATCAACTTAAACTGGACTGAACCTGTATCACAGAACAAATCATCTTACACTGGACTGGAAGTACCTTAGAACCAATAACCTTACACTGGACTGGAAGTACCTTAGAACCAATAACCTTACATTGGACTGGAAGTACCGCCGGAACCTATCAACTTACACTTAACTAAAAGTACTTTGGAACCCATCAATTTTACACTCAACTAGAATTACATGGTTCCCCCTCCAAGTAAAGACCACTTTTGGGATGGAAGTTTCTAAGGTTTTTAGCTGTCTCTCATTAGATTGATAAAGATAAAAGACATTTGTTAATATGGGACCACAGAGAATTGGTCCTTAATCGGAGGTGGTCTTTAATTGGAGGGTCTATAATTAGAGGGAGACTTGTAACTCGCAATCCATTATCTTACAATGAACTGTAAATACATCAGAACCAGAAGCAGTTGTCTTACACTGAATTGGAGTCCTATCATAATCCACCAATTTACATTCAACTGACAATGAAATAAACAAGTGGATTACAATTTTTCTTTGCTCTGATTAAATTATTGTTAACTTCGAAAAGAAGGCTCCAGCACGACGGCCTTCTTCCGCAGGTGGAGTCTACAAAAACATACTCAAACATACTCTACTCTATAACTTCATAACTTCCTTTATTGTAAACTAAATGCTATCGGTATTGAGTATCATAAATGGTTTAGGTCATATTTATCTATCATATACTAGCCTGTTCAAATAAATGGTGTAAAGCCTGATTTGTCTATGGTATCAAGGTAGTATTTGGGGACTCTTTTTTCTTCTATAAAAATAATTTGGTATTTTGTGAACTTCTTTTATATGCTGATGACAGTGCAATTCTATTTTCTCACAATGACCCGAATCAAATAACAATAAACCTATACAGTATAAAGTTCTAAAGGATTGTAATTAATCGCTCTGTGAAAATAGGCTTTCGTTAAACTTAAACAAATCAATATGTATTATTTTGGAAGTAAAAAAAAGAAGTTAAATAAGGTTATTAATTTGCATATCGAATATGGTTAAATAATTTTTAAAGCTAAGAAATTTGTAAAATATCTGGGAATTGAGATTGACAGAAATGTTACGGGTCATAAGCAAAGCAAATTCACGGCTGGAATATCTTTATCGGCAGGCCTCATGTTTAGACTCATACTGTAGAAAAGTTTATGTAAGTCACTGATCCTCTTTTCGATTATGCTGCTCCATCGCCAAGTTCTGTAACACTCATAAAAGATATAAAATTAAACTTCAAACGGATCAAAATAAAATGGTAAAATTTATAAAACATCTGAGATCTAGGGAACACGATAGGACAATTTGGACGCTCGGATGTGGGACTGCTTAGTGTTGAAGATAGGATAACATTTCTTCGCTTACGGTATGTCATGTTTATAAAATTAATAAATTGCCCCTCTTATATACGAAAAATCACTTTAAAAGAATCTGCCATAGACATAGCACTATAATTAGTTCACTTAACTATAGAATACCTATTATTACCTCAGATGCTTCAACAACATTTTAGTTTAATGCTTTCTCCCAGCCGATAGAATTAAATGGAAATTAAAAACTCTACCTGGCACAGTTAAAGACAAATTTAAAAGAAAGTTTGTTAAGTGTTTTAAATATTTCTCATCTTTTTAAGTAATTGATTTTTGTTTTGTGTTTCTCGTCTCTTAATTAGAGAGCTTTTGGAATTAAGTCTTAGGATTTTCGGGCATTTGGCATGTTTTCTTCCTCTTGTTGTTCTGCCTTCTTTTTTCTATTCTCTTGATTTTTTTATATTAATAATTTTTTTATATTATTTTTGAACTGTTTGATCGTGTTTTACACGATTTTAACTTGGTTTTGTATTTCTTTTCAATTTGAATTGTATTTGCTTGCTGTATTTCTATAGGCCTACCTAATAAAGTAAAATCCACTTAACATCACAATTATTATTCTAGCATTATTCTAGCAACATAATTTTAAATTTGAAAACGATATTCAATTATACATTTTAGTGATGATAAAAAAAAATCAGATTGCGTACAGTAATAGGCATAGTATTATGCTATAATGGTTTTATCTGTACGAGCAATTTAGCGTTCACATCCAAATATTGGGTCATATCAAATAGATAATCTACTTGATTATTAAATAGGTAAAATTATTATTTTGTGTTATGGTTTTTGTTCCTAGTGCCCCATGGGGGTTGTAGACACTTGGCGTCTCATTTGTAAGTTGTGAGAGTAAAAGGTTGCAAAAATGATGGGATGCGTCATAAGCTAAAGATAGGAACGAAAAGTAAAGGCCTGTTTATACTTGCAACAATAACGATAAAAAGCTAAAAAAGAAAAAAAAAAGAAATAAGTGAAGTTATAACACTAGGACGATTCAATAACGATTTATCATGTATACGATAAAACATATTTAACAAATCAAATCAAATGACGTCATGATCATGAAAAAACGATAAAATCATTGTTCATCGTTTTTCCATGATTATGACGTCGTTTTAATTGATTTGTTAGTTGTTATCGTATACACGAAAGCCGTTGTCGAATCGTCCTAGTGTAAAAATTTCTCTTATTTTTATTATTTTCTATAAGAACAATTGCTTTTTAGCATTTTATCGTTACCGTATGCCTAGATACAACCTGTCCTAGAAAGAACTAAAAATTCAACAATCTGTTACTTGTACAGTTATTCAATTAGGGAAAAAAATATTGTGTTGGCCACGAAATACAGATATTTTTTAATGAGCTGAAAGGCTAGAATTGGCCTATCTTGCGACGGTAGGCGATGCGACAGTGTTATGCGATCGTTTAGCTATTCGCTATAGATTAAAAAATTGTTTTTTTTTTATTTTGTTGTATTTTCTACATTTTTTTTAGACATAAACACATTATTTGTAAAAAAAAAAAATCCTACCGACCTACCTATTTTTAGGATTTCCCCGAAATGTGGCCAACAAAAGAATTTTCTTTTTTTTTTAGCTTTAACGCATTGAAATCTGTAAGACCGCAACTTACTTTTACTACCACTAATAATTGATAATATGTTAACTTCATAAACAAGATAAAATTACTCAGACGAGCTATATTTGAAACCAATCCTTTCATAGTGGATTATTAATGATTCCATGTTATTACACAGTTACTTTGTGCATGATTTTATGTTCGCTTTTTCAAAAATTATATATGATTTTATAAATCCAATATAATGCTGTAAAGTACAAAATGTAGATTTAGCAAATAAAAATTGTGAGATTTATGGTATAAGGCGTAATGTCTATGATTACAATTTTTTTTTTTAAATTAAAATTTAATTCAAACAAAGAGAAGATTAGATAAACATTCTTTCCTAACAGGCTGTGTCAAAAATTGAGATCCAAAACAACCATAATCATGTTTGTACCAGATGTCTTTACTGAATAATGGAAAAATTTACCAAGGTACTCACACCAATTCAATTGTTAATGATGACAAAACTCATTGCTCGAATTCATCATTAGCTATTTTCAGTCCACATCTCGACGAAAGCCTCAGCATGTTGGCGGCATACCATGTACCAATCTCTCTCTTGCTGTGTAGTACCAATTCGCTATTCCCCAATGTCGATCTCATTTCTCCATTTTTTACGCAGCCCCATTGCCAAGGAAAGGTGGAAATGGGGGGGGGGGGGTAGGAGTGCTCATTTTCCCTGCTTAATGTTTTGCCCTCTACTAAAATCAAAGATATTGAATTAATTAAAACAAAGAGTAAAAAATATTTTTTTAAATAGCAAAAACAGTTATTGGAGCAAAATATTCGGGAAGTCTGGTCAATATTGAACACCTAATGACAGAATCGCATCACCCAACGATTTCTAAGAGTGCCATTTGAGTTTTTGCTTGCTGGTACAGTAGAAACCTTCCTTTGGGACACCCTTATTCACGGGACACACCTATCAATGGGACACTTTTCCGTGAAACAAGGAGCAATATATCTTTTAACACTGTGACCAACTCCTATTAAGGGAACACCCCTATTAAAGGGACGGGGACACTTTCTGAGTGTGCTAAATGGTCAAATAACCCCTATTAGGGAGACACTAATTTTTTATATTGTATCAACAAAAACAACAGTCTCAAAATAAGAAAAATTCACACAACTTTATATATTGACACATTTTGAGTAATTTATTAAGGAACTTTTATCACCATTTTAACTATTATGACATTTCTACCGCTGTTTGTCAAGGGCGAGCTTTTGTTAGACTACGTAGGTCCCTAATAATAATAATAATAATAATAATAATAATAATAATTATACTACTATAATAATACTTTTGGTTCTCTTCGCTTATTCAAACTTAAAAATAAACTCCAAGCATCCCAAAACATCCACGAACTAATGTTGGCCATAATGAATATATAAAATTAAATTGGCTACCTGTTTCAACTAGAGTTGCTGAACGTAAATATCTTCAAATTATAAATGGCATATCCCCTGTATATTTAAATATTGGTATTGAGTTCACTAACCTATTTCATAACTATAATACTAGATTTTCTACTTCTAGAATGTCAATTTATAAACAAAAATATGGTACACATAGTAGATTTTCATTCATCAATACCGCTGTTGATGAATGGAATAAATTACCTTATAATGTTCAAAATGCACAATCCATATACACATTCAAAAAACTCATTAAGAACCACTATTTATCTGAACTTCACAGTAATATATAGTTTAATGTTTATGATATCAATTTTGGTTGAATCTGACTCTGATGTTTTGAAAATGTTTATTTATTGTATTGTTTCCTTATTGTTCTATTATTATTCTGTAATTTTAGTATTCTTATTTAGGGACCACAGTGGGAATAAGTTGCTTTCTGTGTTTTTATCCTTGAATGTTTTTACTTATAATTACTTCAGAATGAATAAAAAAAAAATAATAATGATAATATTTTAACTGAAATTGAAGTGCAAAAAGATTCAATAAAAAATAATCGGTCTTTGTTTGGAAGTAGTTTGGTGTGTTTAAGTATTTTCATGGTTTGTTGTTTTTGCTTGTGTGTTAAAAGTGGTGTTCTGTTCGCTAATCTTATTGATTTGATTGAATTTTGTATTTAGAGAATTTGTCCATTTTTTTCTTGGTTTGTATTTTAATTGTTCTGGTATATGTATGACTAAATTGTCCGTTTTAATGAAATTATTCTATTGTTTTAAAGTTATTCTACGCCTACTGCTTTACTTCTCGGTTCCAGAGGTTTTTTGAATAAATGGAAATTGAAATTAATTGTAAATGAAAATTTGAATTTTTAAATTTGAGCAATAATCCAGAACTTTCTCCCCAAATCCTTAGCGTGAATATCGATAACCTACTACATTTGTTACTTCGTATATTGCATCATGAAACAATAATTGTGTTAGCAAAAATAAAATTATAATGAATATTGTATGTCATCGTTTTATGAAAACATGCTAAAAACCCCTCTTAAGGGGACTATTTCATGTTTTTGGTTAGTGTTCCCTGAATAGGGGTAATCTATTCAGTGGACACCCCTATTAAGGGGACACTTTTTTTGGTCCCGAACGTGTCCCCTTAATAGTGGTTCTACTGTATTTAAGTTTTTGTGAAAAGGAGTGGATATGCAGCCCCATACTGAGCTTAGGTAGTGGTGGGGGAGGGGGCATACAAGTTCAACTCCAATTGTGGCGGGACTGAGGTGGGCGTGACCCTTCTAGTACCTGACCCCCACCCCTGATGATCAACGAGTCTAGGTAAAGGGCTGCATTTACGCTGTCTTCTCTGTTCATTGTGCCATCCATGGGTCTCAATTCTGTTACTGTTTTTGTCTATCTGTTGTCTAACATTCTGTTAATATGCCCTGTCCACTTCCATTTCCTGGACTTCTCTAATCCACTTATTTGTCTATCTGTCTCGTAAATAATAACATATA